TTTGTTCTTCCATGGATCGTTGTATTCCCCTGCATTGTTAGATGCTCAACCCAAGGGGTCAAGCTCTGATACCAATTGAAGTTAGACATGAAACACATAGAAGGGGGGTTGAATATGTGTGGATGTACGAAGGAGTTTTAAAAACATTTTCATAAGAGTAATATTCTTCATCCAATGCACTTTTAAATACCAGAAGGTTATGCAGAATTTGCTTCACACAAGGGCACTGCGTTTGAAAGATTTATCTTTGCAGAGGAAAATAGTTTGTATAATAATAATTAAAGTTCTTGCATTTTTCTTTTCAAGATAGTTTCATTTAAATATAAGCAGCAGGTAAAACTTTTCAGTGTAATATATTTGTTAACAAAATTTGTGTCTTCGTCTGAAAAATGGTTTTAATAAAGAATAGACAGTAGACAAAGTTTTTAACATGATTTTTCAGTTAAGAAGAGTTTGTGTCTGAAATATGAATAAAACAATGCAATCATTTTTATACTAGTTCGCTCAACTGAGCTATGTTCAGTCTCCTTCAACTGAAGGGTTCCATTAAATTTGCAATTAAGTACAAAAGTATTGTCGACCACTTCTAGCTCGTTGACTTCACTCATCAACGCTAGTATCTTCTTATCAGCCACTTCAGGCTAGCATTGAGTATTATGGACCACCCAGGTCAGAACCACTCCTGGTCCAAGTATTCTCAACCATTCCAGGCCTTGAGTATTCTAGACTTTAGACACCCAATTTCATTCGGGAGGCACACAAACAAGAAAATGGACCTACATCATGAAGGAAAAGAGCTCCTGAAGCAGGCAAACAACAAGACAGGATATCAGAAGGCCTAAAGGTCAAATAAGGTTGTTTTAGTAGCCCGGAACGGGTCGTTCCGAACCTCGGAACGGGTCGTTCCAATATCAGAACAAGTCATTCCAACGTGACTAAAATAACTAAAAATCGAATACCGGAACGGGCCATTCCAATACCAGAACGGGCTGGTCCAAACAAGGCAAATTTGGAACGGGCCGTTCTGGAAAGGACAAATATGTGTTAATTTCTACTATAGAACGGGCCGTTCCGTTTTCAAAACGGGCCGTTCCAGGGTGCGTAATCTAAACATAACGTTCAAATCTGGAACGGGCCGTTCCGAATCCAGAACGGGTCATTCCGGCCCACATCTGATCCCTATAAATTGAAGCCTTGGGCACAGTTCTCCGGGGGGCCAGAGAAATTTCAAATAAGACTCCTTTGAGCACCTATTGTATTTTTGAGATTTGTGTCACATCTCTTTTTTCTCTCTCCTTCTTATTGTATTTCTTAAGATCTGTGTGGCGACCTTTTTCATATTTGAAGATTCAATAGAGCTCGTTCAAGAGGTATTTTAATCAATCTTTTTATCTCTATTTTATTTTGTTATCTTTGATAAATATTGTTATATTAAAAGCAATCATGTAGACATTTTTGAGTTAATTGTATAATTTAAATTTCAAGCATGTAAATAAATACATTAATAAAGGGGATTAAATATTTAAATTATTAATTCTCATCACGTTAACTTCATCATAGGGTACCGATTGAGGGCGCTGTAGGGGTGCTTAATACCTTCCCTACACGTAACCGAGCCCCGAACCCAATTCTGGTTATCAAGGCCATTATTGGATTTTTAAAAAATCTTTTCTTTTTCCAATGTTTTGAGTAAAATATTTGTGGCGACTCCATGAACTCATTTTTCAAAACCATTAATTAAGGATTAGTCTGGTGTCCGAGCATTCCTTAATTAATGAGATCTTTAAAAGGATGTCTAAATCATATGTCACGAGATCGAAAATTTTCGGGTTGCGACAGATGGCGACTCCACTGGAGAAGTTTTAAGAGGGTCAAGCCCAAATAAATGATGAATTTAATAAAATATGAATAATAATTTGAGTATTTTTCCCCTTTACTTTGTTTGTTTATTTGCTTGACTTTTAATATTTGTTTGCCTGTTTGAATTCTGCACTTGTTAGAATACAAATTGTACACAAAACCTTTGCACACAACAGTTCCCCCTACACCCGGGGGCATGAGGGTATTAAACATAGGGAGTGGTTGACGTACGACCGGCCCAAGTTTGGCCTTGGAGCCTGGGAGCCTTGTCGGAAATCACACTCAAGGTGATAACCGGTTACTCTAGCCCGAAATACTACGACAGACCTTATAGTTTGCCAGGTGACGGCGACAGAGATACTGGGTCCCTATAATGGGGGCACCTTGGGAGCCTTGAGAAACATGAGATTAGAACCATCCTATACAATGCACTTTTCTTGACCGGGACCACAACGAGCTGACGTCACACAGCGCGTGTCCGAGGTCGTCTTGCGCTGTGAGGCCGAGCTTGGAGCTCGGCTTCGCAGTACGGATAGTACACGAGCCCCCCGAGCTCCGAAGACCGTAGGTCGAGGAGTTAAGACCGAGTTCATCAAGTGGCCGTGACCCTTCACGTACGCCTATCTGTCAATATGCCATGTGTCGTAACCGTCGCCTCGTTCTTGGAAACGTGTAGGTGGCGCGTTAATGGAAACTGACGGTTATGTAATGATGGCTGTGTTTGTCGTAATGGGCTCATTAAATGTGTCGCCAGTTCTGTCCCCTGGCTGACACGTGTTGTGGCCGTTTAAATTTTGGGGAAAACCTTTTCTTTCCTTCGCGCCTCTTCTCCTTTCACTTTACCTTTTGCATTCTCTTTCCTCTCTGGCTTCTTGAGCACGCTGATTTTCTTTGTCTTCTTGCTTCTGCCATCTCCGTCTTCCTCCGTCTTCCTCCGTCACTCTCTCCGGCCACCGAGTTTTCCTCTTCTCGTTTCTGTCTTTTCGTTTATCAAAGGAGTACCAGGTACTTCGATTTCTCAATCTTCTTCCTCTTCTGGGATTTTTTCTCCTTCTTTTTGAATCTTCTGTCCCCGATTCTTTTTGTTTCTCAATGGCTAGTGATAGTGGTGCTGCCTCTTCTGCGCCTGCCAAAGGTAAGGGCAAGGCGCGCGGCAAGGCGGGGAAGTCACGGATCAAAGGAGTAACCAAGGGTTGAGATTTAATTGTGTTTTCTGTGGGTTTATCCAACGGTGTGGCATAAACTGCAAGTGGAGTGGACGTGCAAACAACCTTTGCTGTTTCCAAAGGCATCTTGGTACTCGTGGCAGGAGTTCCCGAGGCCATCACAACCGTTGATGAAGAATTGTGCGAAAGATCCGCATTAGGAGTATAAGGAATTGGACTCGGTTGTGCCATGTGAGAGGGAATAGTTTCCACTTCTGTTTCGCATGCACTCGAGAGTGAATCACTAACCGTGTCAAGCAAGTACGGCGGTGGTGGTCGGCACTGCGACATTGGGTCTTCATCGATGAAAGGATGGAGTTTGGAGACATGGAAGACGGGGTCGATGCGCGAGCCCTCCGGTAACTCCAACGCATAAGCCACCATACAGATGTGGCTTCGAATCTTGAAGGGTCCATAAAATCTCTTCGAAAGCTTCTGGCTGGTTCGTATATGAATGGAAGTTTGTCGATACGATTGAAGACGGACCCAAACCCAGTCACCGACAATGAAGCATGCATCCCGTCGGTGTTTATCTGCCTCTAGCTTCATTCTGTGTCATGCACGGTGAAGGTGATATTTCACTACTGAGAAAATAGCTTTATGTTCGTGCAGGAGGGAGGACACTGTGGGTACGGTGGGCATGGTGGGAGGAAGAAGATTGAGAATATTGGGTGGTGGTCGACCATAGAGCACATGAAAGGGAGAGGTGTCTAAACTGGAGTGTTTATTGGTGTTGTACCAGAACTCAACGATTTGGAGAAAGCGAAGCCATGAACGAGGGTTGTCACTCACAAAGCAGCGTAAAAAACATTCCAATGTCCGATTTAGAACCTCGGTCTGACCGTCAATCTGTGGGTGGTAAGATGAACTATATTTGAGCTTATTGCCTTGTGCTTTAAAAATCTCACGCCAAAATTGACTCAAAAAAATTGGATCTCTGTCTGAAATGATGACTTTAGGAGGACCATGCGATTGAAAAATCTCCTACATAAATCGTTGAGCAAGTTTTTGTGCAGTGAAATGTGTAGGAAGAGCCACAAAATGACTGTATTTGCTCAAGCGGTCGCATACCACCCAAATTATAGTGTAGCCGTGCGAACTTGGTAAGGAGGTAATGAAATCCATGGTTATCTCCTCCCATACTTTGTTTGGAGTGGTAAGCGGTTGTAAAAGACCCCTTGGTTTCTGAGCTTCATATTTGTTTTGTTGACTGATGGTACAACTCCTAATGAACCTGCGAAGATCAGCAGCCATAGTTGGCTAATGATATGAGGCAGCCAAACGACTAAGACTGGCCTTAACACTAGAATGGCCTGCAACCGGAGTGGCATGGTATTCCTCCAACAGTCGTTGTCTGAAATCCAATACTTTAGGTACGAAAAGTCGATTTTGAAAATACAAAAGGCCCTCACGAACGGTATACTTCTCCCCAAATTTTGTATCATTTGTGAATCTATGGATTGTGGCTTTTCCCTCTGGATCTAATGCAAAATACTTCCTCCATTGTTGTAAAAATGTGGGCACTAGAGAAGACATAGCTAGGAGAATTGTATCCGGTGTGTCAGCTAGTCAAGATAATGCATCGACAACTGTATTGTGACGTCCTGCCCTGTAATTGATTTGAAAATCGAACCCCAACAATTTGGTCAACCATTTTTGTTGGGCCGGTGTTTGGATCGATTGGGACATTAAGTGTTGAAGGCTCTGTTAATCGATAAGGATTATGAATTTTTGCCCAATTAAGTATTGTCTCCATTTCTTGACGGCTTCTGTGATTGCATACATCTCTCTCACATAAACTGACTCACTCTGCATTCATGTGCACAACTTCTTGCTGAAAAAAGCCAAAGGATGATGGTCTTGTGTCAACACAGCTCTTACTGTGACCCTTGAAGCATCAGTCTCAAGCACAAAGGGTTTGGAAAAATCTGGGAACTAAAGAATAGGAGTAGTAGTAATTTGTTTTCTTAACTCTGTAAAGGCCTGTTGAGCCTGACTAGTCCATGTAAATGTGGCACATTTCAATAACTCGGTGAGAGGAGAGGCGATTCTAGCATAGTGGCGCACAAATCGTTGATAAAAGTCGATGATACCAAGGAAGCCATGTAAGCCAGTCAACGAGAGCGGAACGAGCCAATCAATTATGGCCTTGACTTTGTCCGGATCAGGTTGTACACCAAATTTGGTGATGGTATGACCGAGATAGCCCACACACTCCACTCCAAAGATGCACTTAGGACGCTTGGCATAAAATTGGTTAACAAGCAATAAGTCTAAAATTGAACATAAATGTAAAAAGTGTGCCGTGAATGACGAATTATAGACCAAAATGTCATCGAAATAAACCAAAACAAATTTCCTTAAAAATTGATGGAATAACACTAAGGCCAAGAAGACCAAGAAGTGATATATTGAAGGAGGTAAGAGGAACAAGTTAGTGTTGAAAAACCAACCATAGGAGGAGTGAGCCTACTTTTGGGCCTTAGCTCCTAAGTTTTTATTAGCATAGCATTTATTTTTATTCCTATTTTGCCCTTGTCTTTAATTTCCTATTTTATCCTTGTATTTTGGGTATCTTAGACATAGGATTTATTTTACTTGTATTTCCCATTTTACCCTTGTATTTTGGGGTGCCTTAGTCATAGGATTTATTTTTACTTGTATTTCCCATTTTATCCTTGTATTATGGGGTGCCTTAGATTATAGGATTTTATTTTATAGCTAGGGTATTTTATTAGGGTTAGAAAAAGGCCTAGACGTATATTTTTGGTAGCATTGGATTTGTTTTTGGACTTGGTAAGGCTTAGGCCCAAGTGGAGGGCACCTAGGATGCATGGTCTTATCATGCACCTAGATGTAGCTTAACCAAACCTAAAGATTCCATCCTTGGCCACCAAGTAGCATTTAGGGTTAATTTAGGTTTCATTTGAAGTGCATTTGGCTTGCATTTTTTGGTGAAGGCACTCTCAAATGCAACCCTAATGCTTCATTCCTTCTATAAATACCCTAGGATGTGCAACTTGTAATCACTTTGGATGTTGAATATAGAGAGAGCCTTTGTGCCTTTATATCATTACTTAGTCACCCTTGGCTAATTCGACCACCACCCTACCATCTTCACTTTGAGAGAAACAACCCTAGAAGTGGCCTTCATCGTTCATCAAGTGGCCGTGACCCTTCACGTACGCCTATCTGTCAATATGCCATGTGTCGTAACCGTCGCCTCGTTCTTGGAAACGTGTAGGTGGCGCGTTAATGGAAACTGACGGTTATGTAATGATGTTCTGGAAAGGACAAATATGTGTTAATTTCTACTATGGAACGGGCCGTTCCAGGGTGCGAATCTGAACATAACGTTCGAATTCGAAATGGTCCGTTCCGAATCCAGAACGGGCCGTTCCAACCCACATCTGATCCCTATAAATTGAAGTCTCGGGCACAGTTCTCTGGGGGGCCAGAGAAATTTTGAATAAGACTCCTTTGAGCACTAAAATTCTCTACCTCTCTCCCTTCTATTGTATTTCTTGAGATTTATATCGCATCTCTTTTTTCTCTCTCCTTCCTATTGTATATCTTAAGATCTGTGAGGCATATTGTAGTGTGAAAGGTCGCCACAAAGCACCTTTTTCATATTTGAAGATTCAATAGAGCTCGTTCAAGAGGTATTTTAATCAATCTTCTTCTCTCTATTTTATTTTGTTATCTTTGATAAATATTGTTATATTAAAAGAAATCATGTAGACATTTTTGAGTTAATTGTATAATTTAAATTTCAAGCATGTAAATAAATATATTAATAAAGGGGATTAAATATTTAAATTATTAATTCTCATCACGTTAACTTCATCATAGGGTACCGATTGAGGGCGCTGTAGGGGTGCTTAATACCTTCCTTACACGTAACCGACCCCCGAACCCAATTCTGGTTATCAAGGTCATTATTGGATTTTTAAAAAATCTTTTCTTTTTCCAATGTTTTGAGTAAAATATTGGTGGCGACTCCATGAACTCATTTTTCAAAACCATTAATTAAGAATTAGTCTGGTGTCCGAGCATTCCTTAATTAATGAGATCTTTAAAAGGATGTCTAAACCATATGTCGCGAGATCGGAAATTTTTGGGTTGCGACATAGACCATCTCGGTCACGGCCATTCCTGGTCACGAGTATTCTCAACCACTCCTGGTTGGCTAGCTTCACTCACTATCTCTAGTATTCTTAAACCACTTCTGGTTCCCCAAGTATTTTCGACCACTCTTGGCCGGCCAGCTTCACTCACCAGCGCTAGTATATTCTTATAAGTCACTTCTTGCTAGTAGTGAGTATTATGGACCACCCAGGTCAAAATCACTCCTGGTCCAAGTATTCTCTACCTCTCTAGGCCCGCCAGCTTCACTCACCAGCACTAATATTCTTTAATCAGCCTCTTTAGGCTTGCAGTGAGTATTCTTTGACCAGGCCCTCCGGGCTTTACAAGTATTCTTTCCCGAGCCTTTTCAGGTTTTACAATGTTAGATGTATAATTAGGTTTGAGTATTTGGGTTACTCTCACAGAGAGGATACATATATGATCTACACTCTCTAAGGTTTCACTAACTTAGTCCTATAGAGATTTTGAGTGTATGGGTTACTCTTTACAAAGAGGATACATAAGATTACAACACTCACTAAGGTCTCATTCCTAAGATACATTTGGAACACCTTAGACTATAGAGATGAATACAATGATACAATGTATGTTTGACTATGAGGAGTCGATCTTTGATTTCTCTATTTTCTTTTGGGCTTGATATTACTTTTTGTGCTTAATGCTTAGAGCCCAAGGCAATTCTTATAGTCATTCTTTCGTTGCTCCTTGCCAACCTTTTCGGTTTGAGGTTATTGCATACTTATAGGCCTGTAAAATTTGGTCGTTGCATATGTCCGTTGAAGCTGATAAAGTCGTTCATGATTAGTTTGATCCTTTTATTTGATGCACTTGATCTTGCATTAAATGTTGCTTCCTGTTTATGAACAATGCGTATACTGTTCTGAATCTGCAGATTCTGACTTTCACAAAATCCTAGGGATTAGCTACAGAGACGTTATCTTTATCAGAAAGGTAGGTGTCCTTTGACATTTTGTGCTTACTTTTCTTCTTTCTTCTTTTCTTCTCACAATTTTGATGACTTCGTGTGTTCTCCTGTGAGTGTGGATGATATTCAAATTGTCCTTTGAAACTTGATTCCTCAGGTGGTTGCGTGGCAACTTTCGTCTGCATCTGGTAGTTTATATGTAGCTCAAGCTTTGACCTTTGTCTGAGAATTTGTTATTAACGTATTGACTCTTCCTTTCGTCTGGTTAACTTGTATATGGTCAGACTTTCATTAACTTTGACCAACCTTCGTTTGAGTCTTTATGTTTCGCTTGACACGCTTTTTTCTTGTTCTTCATCTTACCTGTTCTTATATTTTTCTGAAACACTAACATACTTGTTAGAGATAACAACATGTATTATATTTGTCTCACTCAAAATCTTGTTAGGAGTTTCTTTGTCTGACTTAACAAAGGTGACTCTCATAGTTAATCAATTTCGTATATATCAATTATGGACATAAGATAATGCCTGGCATGATCGTAGTTTGAGAGCCTCTAGAAGAATCTCACCGACATGACTCTTTCAACACCTAAAGAATTTCGCAACAAGGAGCCCTTGGAACTCCTATGCCCGACTTGACCAAGCTTAAACCTAATGTCAATGTTGTGAACATTCTATGGCTCCCACATCTTGTATGTGTTACACTCTATTTTTCATAAAATAAGTACAAGTATTTAATTAATATTTTTGGTATTTTTTTTAGTTAATAGAGGTGTGTTGATATTTATTTTAATTATTTGACATGTTTTAGAATATTATATAAGATGTGTTTAATTAAATATTTTATTTAATTAAATAAGAGGAAGAGATTTGTAACTATGATTAATATGTTTAAACTGGAGGGTTATAGAGGAATTAATATTATAAAAGGAGCGATTCTAAACAATTTTCTTTTTAAGCTCCTTCATTTTATGTTTTTCACATACACGTTTCATTTTATGCTTAGAGTTCAAAGAATAGAAATAGGAAGGAAATCGCCCTGAGACCATGCACCCGTCTTCTCCTGCTTACTAAGGTAAGGGGGAGTGAAAAACCTCATTTTGGGTGTGAGTTTGCATGTTGGGTAGCATAATTGCTCCCTAATCCTCTCTTTGTTAATTTTCTATGAATAAGGGGTTTTCCCCAATTGTGCTATTTTTCTTCTATTATTTTTCTTGTAGATGACTAATGACATTAATTCTTTGATTGTATGATTAATTGCTTGTTTTGGTTGATAATTATATGATAGGGGTTCCTATGGGAACCTTAAGGGAACTTGTGATAGTTGTGTGAAGATATTGATTAATATGTGTAAATTGAGTGATTTGAAATGTTAATTTCATTTTATAAAGCACTTTTACTAATTGTATGTGAGTTTATGTGTGTAATTAAATGTGGGTAACTTATAGACACCAAGACACTAAGGAGATGTGATTTTCAAGGAAGAAGATCGCGTTCTCACTTAGCGAGACCTGTTTGGTCGCTCAACAAGAAGCTCTAAGGGGCTTAGCTCGCTCAGCAAAATATTGGTTGCTTAGCAAGGAGCTCTATAGAGCTTAGCTCACTCAATGAGGTGATAGTCGCTCAACGAGATGCTCCAAGAAACTCAACTCGCTCAACAAGGTAGCATTTGCTCAACGACTATTAGATGGTTGTTTTACTATTGTGATATTGATGCTACCTTTTTACTAAGGACTATCTTATGTATTTGAGAATGTAAACAAGATATATGATGTGATATGAGGAACATGTGATATACGAAGTGAGACCATGTGTATGTTATTGCATCGAGTCTGTTTGACATGCATCATTTGCATAAAATCTGCACGAAGGAAGGCCCTTTGTGCAAAAGCTTAGAGATCAACCTTGGGGATAACTTGGTTTAGGAAGTCCTAGTCATGTCTTCGTCTGCATGGGATGTATCTTGTGTAGCTTAGCTATCCCAATCAAACTATGGTACTATGTCCTCCTAGTGAAAGTGCAAGAGGGTGTAACCCGGCATGTACTCCTAGGCTATATATCATCAGTTGGGCTAGCCTATTTTTTTTATAAACTTTTTGTATTTTATATTTTACTTGTCAACAAGTAAAAGAAAAAGACTAACGGGACATTTGGTTCATTATGAGAATTTTTTTATACTTAAGAATCATGATTCATAAAAATTATAAATCTTAGGAATCATGATTTCTAGGAGTAATTAAAATCTATTTGGTTGGTCATAAAAGTTTCTGAAAATGTTTAGCAATGTTACTTGTGAATCAAAGATTTTTACTGTATTAAATAGTAAAATAAAGATAATATGACATTTTACCAAACTAAAACTTTTCATTTAACTCGAGAATGTTAAATTCTCATCCTTTCTCATGGGAATTATTTTGTAAAAAACATAGATAAAAACTATTTTCAGGAAACAATGTTTCCTAGGAATGTTATTTTTTAATTAGTAAACCAAATGTGAGAAACTAAGTTTCCCAACCTCAAATTCTTGCGAAAGTAAAAAAAGAATCCTTGTATCAAAGGCCTCAGAGTTTAAGAGTGAGAAGTGTGTTAAAAATGGATCTCTTTAAATGTGAGACGGTCACAAAGAGTCACAACAAGCACAAAATTCATATTTATTTGGAGGAAGAAAACAAAACACACCAACACCATTTAATTTATACGAAGTAAGTTGATTTTATTTTTTGTACAATTAATTTCATTGTTATTATTACTTTTATATTTATTTATATTAATTAGTTAATTTGGTTATTTATTTTATAGGAATTTGAGAGCACAACAACTATCAATTTTAGAAAATTAAGCTTTATATGTGTTAAGAGTTGTGAAGGATCCCATCATTACGTGGTTTGAATATGTTAACTTATTAGAAATATATATATATATATATAAAAGTCATGATAAATGTACTGATCTTGTAAAGATGGGTTGTGATATGTACTAAATATTCTAATAACTAATGTAGTATTATAATTCATTCTAAGCATTTACTCTCAAATTTTGAACTAAAATAAAAGTTTTTTTTGGGAGATGAAATAGTTCAAGCTCTCTTATACACCCATAGTTGGTAACACAATTTTATAAACTAATAGATGGGATTGTTTTATAATATATAGTTTTTTTTCTCTCAATAAAAACATGTTAATATAAATAATCATACCAATAATTATCAATATTAAATTTTGAAAATACAATCAATTAGAAAAGATTAAAAAAAATAGTTTGACCCAAAATGTCTATAGTTTACATGAGATCAGACTTCAATTTAAAAGATCAAATTCAATTTAAAACTTTTTAACCCAATCTATTACAGCTAGTAGCCCACAATGAGTCAACTTGAAATAGATCGGATAGCTCACTTTACCAACTATAACCAAAGATTAAGAAAGTTAATTAAATATATATAATTTCACGATTTTACATAAAATACACACTACATTATTTTAAACCACACCTATAGTAAACAATGTTCCCGTTTATTATCTTAAGAATATTTTTGGATTAAGAATATTAAACGAAATTGACTTTATTAAAATTTGTTTATATTTTAATTCAAAACTTTTTAAAAGATTTACTTGTATAATTATATTTAGGTCTAGAGAGATTACCATGAGAAAGAAAAACAATTCTAATCCGTTTGATTTTGAGTTTGCCATAACTACTGAATTTAATAAAATTAATCTAAATTATTAAATATTTTACTTTTATATTATAAATTAGAATATATAATTTAAAGAATGTGAATCTTACTCGGCTTAGACATTTTCAATATCTTTTTCTCTTTTTTGAAAGTGTATTTACATATTATCCGTGCAATAAAACATTTTTATCACAGTTTATCTTTGTTTCTAAATTAGATTAATAATTAAAGCTAATTTTATATTATAATTTAAATATTTATTATAAATTAAAAATATATTTATAAATTAAAAATATTTATTCGTAATGAATTTTAGCCATATAAAAAGTAAATATATATCTTCTACAATACACATTAAAATACTAGTTAAAATATGTATCTAAATTAATTAACACCTATTTTTTATTTAAAATGCGAGAAATAATCTTTTAACTTTGAAACAACAAGAATTTCATATTAAACGAACGGGTCTGATAATGATGTGATCCATGTAAATCAGAAGGAACTGCTAAATATATCATAAAAATTAGATAGATAAGACAACTATATATAAATATCTTTCTAGGAAAGCCAACGTAACTTATCATTTAAGTATTCACATAGCACACTAAAATATAAATATTAATTAAAAAAAACATAATCTTTTTGTTCTGTATACTACTATGCTATGCATAAGCACGAATCCGTGTGTATAATAATGACACGTGATATATGATTAAATATAGTAAACATTCTTGGATGAGTTTAAGAAATTAAATATAGAATAGTCAAAATTCTGAACAGGTGAAAATTACAAAGAAATTTCCCTGAAATTTAGGCTCAGTGGGCAGACCCCATCAATTGTAAAGATAAACAAAGTTTTCTTCTACTTTCTCTCTCCAGCAAGCTCAGAATCTTTCGAAATATGCTTTGAGTTTTCCTTCATTGTAGTTTCTACTTTTGTTTTCACTCCTTTTTCTTTGGTAAGTCCACCATGACAAATTGACAAATTCTGGATATTTCTCCTTCTCCAGCATGGTGTGGTTTTTCTGGGATTTTAATTCTGTTTGGATTTGTTGTGGTGCTTTCTCTCTTTTGTTTCTGGCTTTGTGATGGTGATTGACGACAAGTCCTGTTTCTGTGGTTGAAGCTACCTGTTTCTTGCATGATTTTTCCTCCTTAATGAATCTATAGTTTTTTTTTTTTTTGTTGAGGGTAAAAGTTTTTATCATTTCAGTTTGTATATGTGAAATTATGGAGCTTTGTTTGTTTCCCTTTGTAATTGTTGGACTTGACCTGTTTCTTGTTTTAGGAAATTTTAGATGTGATGTCTTGCAGCCATTCAAACCGGTTAGTTAAATGATTCTAAATTGATTGTAGTTTTATGTAATTACTGTTAAATTGGTTGTAATTCCTCATGATTTGGTTACAAGAGATAGTTCAGTCGTTGACTATATAGTTGACTTCCTGTGTTCATTGTAAGACTTTGTTTATAATTTCCTTTTTGCTTTGGCAGTTATTTATTTTCTACTTTGAAATTTGTTGTCATCTGCCTGAATCCGCTCAAATGCTTTGTTTACAAGTATACTTCAATGGGGAATATCTTTTATTTGCATTTGTTGTTCATATTGTTTTCTTTGTGAGTCATGTTTTATGGAATCTCTTGTCAAAAAGCATTTATTGTGGTCCAGAATAACAAGAGTAAAGTTAGGGGTTAAAAGAGTTCTGATTTTATGTTGGTCCGTTTGCTTTTTCTAAATAGTTGGAGTTCTGTTATTCCTATCCCTCTGAGTCTCAGATTTACCATGTTGCTCGATTTAAGGATAATTTATTAAGGGTCTGTTTAAATACACTTTCCCATAAGTACTTATAAGAGAAGAAAGTAAGAAAAACAAAATGGAATAAGATTTTTCATAAGCTAAAATTAACATATCAGAAGCAAATTTGCATAAGTTCTCTTATATTAGCTTATCAAAAAGCTTCCTTTTTAACTTATGCATAAGTTAATTGTAACTTATGGCGAAGCTTACTTTATTTCTTTCTATTTTCTTTCTTGTAAGTGCTTATAAGACTTGTTAGCAGTTTACTTTTGTTGTCCATTTTGTGACCCATGTTTTTACTTCATTTGTGTCTGTTATTACTGAAGCTCTATACTTAGTGCAGAAGCAAAGTGAACATCTGGTGTATCTTTTTCAGTTTAAATTTCTAGCAAAAGAGAGAATGTCAGGTGGAGCAACATACTGGTGTTACACATGCAGGCAACCAATCTGGCTCACAGGGAGGGATGTGATTTGCCCTTACTGCAGTGAAGGCTTTGTGCAAGAACTTAACGAGAGGCGAAGAGTTGCACGCGAACATGGCCACTCATCACAGTTGGAAGAGTTTCATCAAATGCCTGACATTATGGATGCTATACAAGCTGTTATGGAGCAAAGAGGTTCCGAATCAAGAATTGGTGTTAGAGATGCTGTTGATAATTTCATGAGGCAGAGAATGGCTGGAAGATACACAAACTTTGATGTTAGAAGGAGGTCTGGTTCTGCCTTACTTCCTGAACAAACTTGGGGTGTCTTTAGTTCTGGTCCTTATTTGATATTTCATGGTCAAGCTCCAGGGTTCACTTTCTCTAACAGTGGCTCAAGAGGTGGTCCTAGGCGTGTTGATTTTGGTGACTACTTTTTGGGCCCTAGACTTGAAGGACTCATTGAACAACACATTACAAATGACAGGCTTGGTCCACCGCCTGCGTCACGGTCCTCAATTGATGCAATGCCAACTATTACGATCACACATGAACACCTCCAATCTGATTCACACTGTCCAGTTTGTAAAGAAAGATTTGAAGTGGGTTCTGAAGCCAGGAAAATGCCATGTAACCACATTTACCACTCAGACTGCATTGTTCCATGGTTGGTTCAGCATAACTCATGTCCTGTTTGTCGTGTTGAGCTGCCACCTCAAGGACATGCTAGTTCCCGGGGTAGTCGAATTTGGGGACGAAGGAATGTTACTGGTAGTAATGGTGGTGACAATGATATCTCCAGGGGTAGGGAAAATAGGCAGTTGAACAATGGAAGGAGAAATCTACTGTCATTTTTGTGGCCATTCCGTTCTTCTAGTTCTAATACTTGATCAATGTGCTCTGACTGGGGAAGCTACTCTTCTATAACTCTTTTGACTCTGACCAGAACAATGGCAGAAGTTAACTCAGTTCCATTTCTTCTCCAGGAAGTGTAATTAGATGTCAAATTATGCTTGTAATTTAAATTACATGAAGAAAGTTTCTGAATATTGTGGTTTGAACTTTTATCTCATAGATACTTCATGGTAGAAGTATGTGAAAATCTTTGTAAATACAATATTTTTTTGAAGCAATTTGCGTTTGACATTTTCAGTAACTTGGAAGGTTTCACCTTGGTGAATAGGTAATTTGCATGGTGCTGTTTAGGCTGTGTTTCGGAATCAAAGAAGGAAAGGTAAGTGAAGAAACTCATAGATGAGCAGCGAATGTTAAGAAATGCACTCTTGGCATCAATTTAATAAAGCCTTGTGACATGATGAGTAGCAAATGAGACTAAGATCTTAATGACTTTTAATCTAGCAACAGCTGCAGATGTTTTAGTATGCTAACACTATGTTTGGTAAGTGGGAAGTAGGGAGGGAAGTAAAAGAAAGAGAACGGAAGTGTGTGAAAGTAAAGGATGATAGGGTGTTTGGTAAAGAGAAAGTAGAGAGGAAGTTATAATAATTAAAGTGAGATCTGTCAAAATAAACTTCCCCTTCCATGTGAGGGGAAGTGCACGAAAATTGCATTTAACATATCACATTGAGAAGGTGTGAAGTTTTGAAAGATAAGTTATGTATTTGCATTTTTTTCAAGTATGCAATAGGAAGTGTGGATAAATTTCAAAGAAAAAGATAATGATATTTACTAACACATTTTTACTTACATTCTTCACTTATATAATCACTCACTAAACATGTAGTTATCATCATCACCTTGTCTACTTTATGTAACACCCTAGTTTTTTTTTAATAATTAATTAGTGATGGAGTTATTTTATGATATTTATTTGAGAAGAACACAATCTAATTTTATTCATGAGTTTTTTATTTATAGAAAAAAATTGTTATACAAAATCAAATATTGATATTATCCTATTCTAAAAACAAGGAAACAAATCCTAAAATAATCAAAATAAATTAAATCTAAATATTTGAAATATAAATAAAATATTCTTATCAAAAACTAATTTCTTTTAGCATTTGTCTTGAACATCTCTTTTGAAGTTGATTTTTCATCATCTTCATTTTCCTCTTCATCATCAAATTTCTTTCGAAAACATGCATCTTTGTGCTCTTCACTTGTATCTTCATTTATAATAGGCTCCTCCTTCTCCAAATTTAAAGCAAAACCCTTGTCTTTCATATGAACATTGAACACTTCTTTGTTGTTTACATCTTTAATCACACAATTATTATCTTCATAATATTTTATAGCCTTTTCCCAACAACTGAATAACACTCAACAAATTTTGATTAATATCCGGAACGTATAAAACATCAGATATTAATTTCAAACCTGAATGAATTTTAATAACAAGTGTTCCTTTGTCTTTTACTGTAAGGTGTGCTCCATTTCCCATTTGGACTTTAGAGATATCAGTTTTGTTGATTTCTTTGAAGAGTTCTCGATCATAAGTCATATGATTTGTACAACCACTATCAATAATCCAAGCTTTGAGGGATTTTTGATCATAAAGCATTACATTGAAAGTAGTTGTTCTTCTTCTTCTTCTTGTTGATCTTCAACAATGTTGGTTTGTTCTTGTTGCTCATGAGATTTACATACATATTTTAGGTGTCCTAATTGTCCGCACTTGTCACATTTTAAATCAGGTCTCCACCAACATCTTTTTTTGTGGATGATTAGTCTTTTTGCAATAAAGACATGGGGGAAAAATTTGAGTGTTATTATTTTGACTGTTCTCTTAGAACAATTCTTTCTTATTTTTGCCACCATTGTTGTTCTTCCATTTGGCTAAATATACACCTTCCATAGATCTTTCTTCTCTCATAAGCCTTCTTTGTTCTAATGCTTGCAATACATGTAACACTTCTGACAAAGTGATGTTACTCAGATCTTTTGTGTTCTCCAAGGCCGCTATTGAAGCTTCATATCTTTCAGGTATAGTTACTAGAATTTTTTCAACAATTTTAGAATTAAGAAATTGTGTTCCTAGTAATTGTACCTTATTAGCAATGCCAAGCAGTTTGTCTGAGTATTTTTTGATTGTCTCAGTCTCCTTCATTCTTTGTATCTCAAATTCTCTCATTAAATTTAATACTTGCATGTTTCGAATCTTTTCATCTCTAGCATATTCTTCCTTTAGATAATCCCAAATTACTTTTGCCAATTTGAGAGTCATGATCCTGGTGAAAACATTTTGTGAAACACAGGCAAAGAGGCAATTTTTTTCCTTTGCCTTCTTAATTTTCTTTTCCTTGTGAATTTTCATTTAGGGTACGGTAGGATTGTCTAGCAATACAGAAACATCATAATCTTCTTCTATGGCTTCCTAGAGATTTAAAGCTTCTAGGTATGCCTCCATTCTCATCACCCAAAGATCATAACTTTCTCCATCAAAAATAGGTGGAAAAATTTGTGAAAAGTTTGTTTCTGCTTCCATCTCCAAGGTCGTAACCTTAGCTCTAGATATCAATGATGGGGTTATTTTATGGAATTTGTCTGATGGGATATTTTATAAGTATTATTTTTTATAAGGTTATTTTACACAAGCATACTCCACAATGATGAAATATTGTCTACTTTGAGCCTAAGCCCTCACAGTTTTACTTTTGATCATTACCCAAAAGGCCTCTTTCATTGGAGTATGTGTTTACTTTATAAGTTATTATTTTTTCTCTTATTTTATTGATGTGGAACTTGTTTGTATCCCAAAAATCCTCTCCTCAAACTAGGGACCTAACCTTTCATGCAGCGGAATCTATCTTTATATATCACATTATATGTTATGAGTTATGAGGGTTGTTACCGCATCCAGCCTTGCAGCTTTGATACCAATGATGGAGTTATTTTATGATATTTGTTTGAGAGGAAATTTTATAAGTTATTTTTTATCAGAGGAGCATAATCTAATTTTATTCATGAGGTTTCTATTTATAGAAAAAATTTGTTATACAAAATCAAATATTGATATTATCCTATTCTAGAAACAGTTAAACAAATCCTGAAATAACCAAAGCAGATTAAATCTGAATATTTGAAATATAAATAAAATATTCTTATCAAAAATTAATTTATTCTCCTAAAGATATTTAGGCATATTCTCAACAATTAGGAAGATAATGATGATTTTATTTTATTATGATTAACAATTTTTATTTTATTGTTTTAATCATTAAGAGAAGAATTAGATATAATTAAAGATAGAGGGGTTTAGAAAAAATAGGGAGTTATATATTAGAAGAGAGGTAGAGAAGAGCTCATACTTTTATCTTTACACACATTCATGTATTCTGAAGAGAAGGCATCTAGAGAGCAAGGAGAAGGGATCACCAGAGAGGAGATAGAGGTTTAGGCTTCATACATTACATTATTCCAGGTAAGGGGAGTGAGAACACTCATGGAATTGGGTGTATGCGTGAAGGGTAGAGGGATTGACCCCAATCCCATAAGTATTCTATTTAATGAAATTTTATGTGCATTTGATGTAGTTTGTCAAGTAGATTTCGAATATGAATTTTATTTAATGATTCAATGCTTCTAAAGTAATTAATTGAGTGCTTTGTTAAAAAGGGTTAGAACTCTAAGGGAAAAGAATTGATGAATTTTAGGGGTAAGAGTCGTAGATATTTAATTGAATAAATTTACATTGAATGGTGAATTTTCTAGACTAAAACGAGTTTTGGCTGTTTAGATTTTTGTATGATCATTTATTGTGATGCTTGTTTAAGATTATTGTTCTGATGATGGTGTGATTGGGTGCTAGATCGCATGTGGCACTAGGCTTGGGTATTCGACGTCGAGCGTGCCTTCATGCACATGAAGGCAATATGATGGCATCAGGCATGGAAATATTCATGTCGGGTGTGAGGTGACCAGGTACTTTCTGTCTCAACTTAAAGTCAAGCATGGATTTGTTAAGCCAAGCTTGAAAAGATCAGGATGCTCTCTATCTCGACTTAAAGTTGGGCATGGATTTGTTAAGCCAGACTTGAAAAGATCAGGATGCTCTCTATTTCAGTTTAGAGTTGAGCGTGAGTTTCCAAACCCAATGTAGATTGTCAAGAGGCTCTTTTATGACATTTTAAATGATGTTATTATGATGATGATTGACTATATGATGATGAATATGTGTGTGTATGTGTGTATGTATATATATATATATATATATATATATGCACACACACACACTTGATGAATGATGATTATTATCTTGATGGATGACATTTGATGTGGATGAATATAGATGTTGTTGAACAATGAATTATATGATGATCATGATGTATTTAATATAGAAGCATTTGCATGATTGTGACATGCATCATACTTGCATGATTTTGTGGTTATGGTGGGAACCTGTTTTTGTGGTTCTAGTGGGAACCTATTTTTGTGGTTTTGGTGGGAACCTGTTAGTGTTCTAGTGGAAGCACTTCTGTGTAGGTAGCTTAAGGTTAACTCGGGACTTAGGTACCAACTATATATTCTTAATGATAATGGTCGAGTACCTCATGCATTTAGATGTAGGTGCACAACATTGCATTACTGTGTATGTGTTTATGAATGGAATTGACGGTGTTTACAATTGAAATTGATGTACTGCATATTGTTATTATAATTATTATCTTGAAGGGATTGGATACCGAGGGTTGCGACCCATTCTCTATAGGGTGAGATTGTTCTCACTCCTTGTTTGTTTGTTGATATATTTTTTTGTATGTTTTGAGAATCCTCAGTCTTTGGAGAAGGGAGAGATCTAAGTGCGTGTGGTAGTTCTGATGCCAATGTGACACCAGGGGCTTGAGAGTAGTTTAGGAACTATAGTATCTCTCTTTGATTTTAATTTAGTACATTCAAGTTAAAATTTATTTACCATTATTCTGTTATTTTTTTTTTTTTTTGAATTGAATTACTTTATTTATACTTTAATTAGGATGAATTGAGATGCTATAAGCTATTTATATCCTTAATTGATATTACTCTTGGAAATAGATGGGTGTCTGACTTTACATATGTACCCCAATCCCAAACTCTTGATAGAAAAAAAATATTAAATATATAATCATTCGTACCTCCCAAATTCTTTCATAGTTTGGGTCCTACGAAAGGAAAGGCGCAATGAAATAAGAATTCACTTTTGACATGCAACCCTTC